ATTTAAATAAAAAAATATAACTAGTTTCAGAGTTATCTACTTTGTTAGAGATTTAGCAGAAATAGAAAACTTGTAGGGCCCATCGCAATGTCTGGCGACGCCCCTCTATCAATCGCATTAATAAAACTTATTTTCCTTTTTTTTCTTCTTATTTTAAACTGTACAGATATGGCTAAAAAACAATTTAAACATCATAAAAATATTGAAAAATAAATTTTAGGCAAGATAATTGAATTAAAATTTTTGTCTAGTATTTTGAAACAGGCCTCTGGAAGTAACCTGATATTTTTATAACAGGAATGATTAAATAACAGGTACAAATTACCTGCTCCAAAAAATCTTAGCCATTTCTAACGTATACATAATACTCGCATTATTGATGTCTTGGTGGATTGATTTTTTGATTCCCGTCTGCAGTCACAACCTCAGGGCCATTTTCCAAATTTATAATTTGATAATTTAAATTTATATTAAAAATTGAGATTAATCTTTACTTTGGAGCTCAACATGAATGTAAAAAATAAAGCTTTTCTTTTATTCTAATTTGATTCTTTATTAAGCAATTTACGATTTTTGTTAAATAAAATTGCTTGTTAATAACAATATATGGACAATTGTAACTACATCAATCAACATTTTCAGCTCATGGTAATTCATCGTAACCTCTTCCACAAATAGTCATTTCTTTAAGCAAGAACAATTTCTTGACAACTTGATATTTCTATAATATATTATTATTTGAAAAGAAAAGTTAAATCACCAATTAAATTACGTTCTTTATTTGATTGCTACTGATTTATCTTTCGCTATTTTCTCGAGTTTAACTTTTGTTGGAATCATTCCAGAAAACTTACATTTATTTGTTTCTGGAGGGGAACCAAGATGAAGAATTTTTAATTCAATTCTTTGTTTCAAGTACTATACCAAAAGTTAAAGAATCAGTTCTGACTTAACTACACAAACTATATTATTGTTCAAGAGTTGGAACAGGAATTTTTACTGCTGTCATTTCATGAAGCCGTAGAGCAAATTTGTTTACGTAAGATATTACTTTTGTACTATTCTAATGCGTTTTGAAAATATTTTTAACCTTAGATTGAAATTTTGAGAGATTCTATTATGGGATTTGAAAGTTTTTTAAAAAAAAAATGTACGCAACTTTCTTCGTTTTATTTATTTAAGTTTTTATTTCTTAAAATTGCTTTTTCTAAAGACTATAGGAAAGCTTTCAAATAGGTTGACAGCGAATTTCATTTTTATGTTATGCATTTTTTTTTACACTTTTTAGATATTATCAGAGAAGTAATACTTATATTAGTTCTACCTAAACGATCGTTCCTCGTATGGGTTTAAAAAAAAGAAATAATTAATAAATCAGTATGCAGAACATTCCAGAAATAAGGAACAGAATTAAAGAACTGGAAATCAATTGCTGGGAGACGGGAAGAATGGGAAAAGCTTCTGAGGAAGGCCCAGGCTCACAAAGGGCTGTCGTGCCAATTCTGATGATACAGAACAATACAATAAAATTTTGCACTAAATTGAAAGGTGTCTACCAACACAATTAAATAAAGCCAAAATAATTTTATTTCTTTTTTAGTGTCGTTTTTTGCTTTTATCGGTGGCTTTACGTTAATAAATTAAGCAGGTATACCGGTGGCTTAGGCGATTGGATACAGCGTTCGCCTTCCAATGAGGTGAACCGGATTCGAATCCCAGCGACGGCTGGTCGACTGGCCGGATCATGGGTTAGTGTCACCTTGCCGTCAGGTTAACCATGGAAGGTTTCCGCGGCCTTAATCTGCATGTGACGCAAATGCGGGTAAGATCCATCAAAATGTATACTTTTAAGTTTATAGACAGGATTGATAGACAGGTTCAGACCCATCTCTAAACTAAATAATGCAATTTTAGTTAGAATTTTTGATTTTATTTTTATTCTTTAACAATCTAATGCATTTTCGAATGAATTTAATTCTTTTCAAATATAAGCGAGAAATTTGATCGCGTCAAAATAAATTAATTAGAATTATCTAGAATGAAAAATATTAATTATATATAAAAATAAGAGAGTCACTTCTTATTGCAGGAATACAATCAAAGTTTGAAGAATCCATCTTATCTGGAGAGAACACTCTTAATAGAAAAGAATGCTTCTTCGAAGAAAAGCTTATTATTATTCCGATTACATTTCTGCTTTGAAGTAATGCATTCAATAGGCTGATTAAAGCAGAAAAGGATATTTCTCTGATTTATGTGATACTATTGTTATGATTAGAAACAAGAAACATATTAATATTTTGTTTTTATTTCGTAGCTGAACTGAGAGACGGTCAATGTAGCAAGTCGGAAATAAGAGTTGTTAATTGGGCAAAAGAATTAAGGAAAACGGGATATTATATTTATCCCAAAACAGTTAGTTTTTTTAAGTTAATATTAGATGCATTAATTTAGACTAAAATAAAGATAATTCGAGCTTCACTGAAGTCAAAAAGTTACCTTTATCAAGGTCCTTAACTGTTTTTAAAAAAATACATTTTGATTTGAAGTATGTTAATAAAAACTCCGTATATTCTATATATCTATAGTCCCTACCCAAATTATTAGACGCACTATAAGATTCTATGTAAAATCTTAATTATCATTTGATACTCTATACAGCTTGATTGCTTTTGCACGACTGAAACTGGTTTGCACTTGTTTACGTTAGTGTATCAATGGGTTAAATGTGACGATATATAATATAAATTCGACGATAGGATAAACTAGATGATATATTATACAAATATAAAATACTTATCATATCAAGCATTATATTAGTATATTATAATTATAAGATTAAATTATTAGACGGATTGTAGAGTTTTAATGATGAAATTTTTTGCACGAATTTATAGACAATACTTTTATAGTTAAACACACATGTAATGGGTTTTTATTCAGGAGATTTTTTATATACCTCCCATTTGTATTTATTTTTAACGTATTGCATTACTATGTTAACCCATTGATACAGGAACGTAAACAAGTGCAAACCGGTTTCTGTATATGCAGTTGTGGATGATTACTTAAATCCTATGACGCAACGGAATTTGAAACGGAATATAGATCTCGTGATCGAATTTTGATACTTTTTAATGTAACTATCACAATGTAGTAATTTAATATTTTGCAATATACAGTATAACATACTATTGTAATTATTTTAAAACTGAAACAAAAAAATTATCAAATATTGTAAAAAATAAATAATTGAATGAAAATATTTCCCATTCTTATTCATTTTTTACTGAATCATTTGAAGCGCGAGTATTGGAAGTTTTCATCCTAGTTAAGAGAGCGACATGAAAAGCTATTATGAGAATGAATATAACGCCGTTTAACTTACTTAGAGGTAAATCCGATTATCCTGTCTCGGTAAAAGCCTGTTATCTAGGAAAGTTTCTTGAAAGTTGAAGACTTTAGTCCAAAATACGTATAATTATCTTCATTATGGTACTAAAGCTTATTTTACACGAAACAAGTTTTGTCGAAGACACCCTAAAAGTAATTATTTGCATGCAAACTAACTTTAAATTAAACGTTTAGTTCAGTAATTTGAGTGAGTTCTATAATTTGACCGTTTATCTAAATCCATTCCTGAGTTTTTATTAAATTAATAATTTTTTTTCTCGCCCTTTTGAATCTATTTGAAGACTTGTTTTTATAAATATTTGCTCTAAATAGTAAACGATTAAAATTATTCATAAAAAGTTCCCCCCCCCTTTTTTTTAAAAACATTTTTAGTTCATTTAACCGTGTTTCCCTAACTAATTATTTTGGAAAAAAAAATGCAAACAGTCAACATATTTTTTTTTATTTCATTCATAAATACAGGGAACTTAAACAAAACATAATACACAAGCTCTAAGTTGACATTTAAAATTTTTTTGTGTAAAAAATATTTAATATACCATCAGTTTACTATCTCAAATTATCTCGAGTATTTGTTCATATCTTCATCTGAAAAATCATCTGCATTACTTTAACCTTCGCTCACGAACGCTATTTTTTTTACTCTTTTTTTTTAATCTGTAAAATCATCAACTATCGTATATACAGGGTGTTCCAAAATTATCTTTACATCACCTGGCTTGAAATTGATTACAACTGGAAGTGCTTAGGGCCACCAATGGTGCGCATGTTGAAGTGAACTAAACAAAACGTTATTAGTTGCAGTAATACACGCAAAAGACAGAATATAAATATCTTGTTTATTTTCGAAGTTATGAATTTTTGAAGTTGTAAAGAGAATTTTGGAACACCCTGTACAATTGTACAAAACACGTCTGCAGTCCCACAAATAGTAAAACTCCTAAACAAAAATCGGCAAACTTATCAAAGCAGATAATTATTATTTTTTGTTTCTCTTCCGACCGAATAAAATCGTGATAAAAAAAATCGCATTGACGAACTCTTCTATGCCCGAGTTTACTCGGGATAATAAATATTTGCAATATATACATACCCGAGTTAATTCGGGATAATCAGAGAAGCGGTTAAAGTATTGTAACTTTATGAAGTATTCCTACTATAGTAAAGTATTCCTACTTTATGAAGTTTGAAAATTAAATGCTTTTTGTTTACATTTGTAGAGTTGGTTGCTATCGGCAATTTTTTACCGTCATTTATGGAAAGGTACCCTGTTTATCGAAATCTATCACAGATAAAATTCTGGTGGGGGAGCACTGCAGTGTATATACCACTACAAAAATGTAATTCCATTTTCCTAGCATACAAGACGTGTTAACTCGATTCTATGGTGGGTTACCTTTTCATAGATGAAGGTAGACAATGTCCATAACTACTCTCCCCATATTTGGAACTTTCGGACGTGATGTGAACACGCATACCTTGGCAGAAACGCCCACTACGATTTGAACACGCCTACTTCAATGCATGATCCGCATTGAACAGTTGGTACAAAATACAAAACAAGTAAACAAGCACTCTGTTTACAGGTACTGTTTGTTGAACGAAAGAACTGCTTCTGCCGTAAGTCTGTGATCATCTGTTGCTATGGAAACAAGGAGCATTCTCATTTCAAAGAGGTAAGATTTTTATACTTGTGACTGCCACATTATCTACCTCCTCACGCTGTTGCTACTCAGTCTCGATCCCACATACCGTACAACGTATTTACTCGACTTCCAATGGCAACAAAGGAGCTATCACGTCCGTGAACTTAATAAAGCTCACCTTATCAGCCCTCAAAAAGTACGGTGATCTTAATACAGCTCTCCCGGCTCTAACAAAACAAGTGGTATGCCGTTCATCGAATTCTATCACAGAAAAAAGTCTGGTGGGAGAGAACTGTAGTGCATCTACCACTACAAATATACAATTCCAATTCACAAGTATATAAATTTGAGATAACTCGATTCTGTGGTGGGGTACCTCTTCATAGATGAAGGTTGACATGGTCGATAACTAACTCCCCACATCGGTGACCCGTACGTGATGTCGATTTCTGCTTCTCATCCCACACATTCTAGTCAACTCACAACAAACGTAGATTATTATGAATTAGTTACAGTTAAGATAAGACATGAAAACTTGACTGCAGGAGCATTTTATTTTAGCTCCAACATTTATAAAAGTAGAAATCTACTTTGTCAAAGTTAGATTATTTCTACGAAGCGAAATCCCAGATAAAATTGCTCGCAAAATGTCGGAAATATTTCAATAACAAATAAATTCAGATTAAACTTTTAAATTTATAATGGGTAAATGGAAATGGAACTACGATGAATGTAAAATTTACTTTATATTATCAAAAGGGAAAAAATTAAAGAAATAATTTAGAGTACCGAGCTTAAAATTAATTGAAAAATCTTTTGATTATTTATTAAAATCTAAGTTATACCCCTTAGAAAAGTCTGCATAAATTTATCTCAATCACAAACAACAAAGATTGGATCATTCTATGAATCAATCGGCAGTCTCATTCCAGAATTTATGGGAATCAGAAGAATTGTTCATCAATAATTAATTAAAAAATGCTCCATAATTTTACTCACTCATTAATTCAATAAGTCAGGAGTATCTTCGAAGACTAAGCATCAGAACGCAATACATAATGTTTCTTACATAGATGCTTTCTCAATAATCATTTATATTTACTTATTTTTTGCATGCTATAGTACATGAATATATCCATAAGAAATTATACGAAATTTATTATCGAGTTAAAAAAAATAAATTTATATATATAATTTTGAAAAAAAATCAGATTTTTGGCGAAAAAAAATAAACATATTGTATTGTCAAGAACTTTATTTTGTATATTGAAATTCGATATTATTCACTGGATAGAAATAAAAAAAAGTATTTTTTTTTTGGAATCTACAAAATATGAATGGAAAATATTTGGACTCCAAAATAGGGTTCAGCAGTGGATGCGACGTTTCTCAGATTTCATTTCAAGAAATAAGCAATAAATAAATTTCATGCTCGATATCGTTATCAGTTTTCGTCAAATCTTACAGAAATAAAGCTTCAGTTACATTCTCTTGAATACACAAGAGATATTTTCTATTCTATCTCAATATTATTATTCTTAATTTTTTTTTAAAAGAAAAAATTCTTATTTAAGAAATTTAATATATGTGTATAAATATCTTAAATCTCGAACGAGAAAGTTCAATAAACTTTCTTCTCGAGTATAAGAGATGCAAATAAAAGTTTTCAATTATTAGGCGCGATATATTATGGACAAAATACTTCACACACTGAGAACTTTTTTGCAAATGAAAGAAAAGCGCCGTGAATGTTAAGAAATACGCAGCAAAAATATAGAATAAAAATGGAAATATGTACGAATATGGAATGAAGGTACAAATTCAGACTGAAGTTAAATAATAAAAAATGAATTAGTCGTAAAGATAAGGAGTGGGGGAGACAATAATCAGATATAAAAATATATATTTAAATGAAAAACGAGCAAATATTCGATTATAAGTACAAAATACAAATACGAAACAAGCACTCTGTTTACAGGTACTGTTTGTTGAACGAAAGAACTGCTCCTGCCGTAAGTCTGTGATCATCTGTTGCTATGGAAATAAGGAGCATTCTCATTTCAAAGAGGTAAGATTTTTATACTTTTCTCACCCATACAAATTATATCTATTCCTTCATTTTTCCTCCACGTACGTTTGAAATATTTTAAACTCGTAATATTGATAGTACTCAAGATAACTGGCGGTATGGAGTATTTTACTTTGGCAGAGAGTGGAGAACTTCTTCTTAAACGTCAGTAACACGTTGCATGTCTTCCCAAGTATTTTCAACCTCATCCCATCAAGTGATATGGCTCTCGTTATAACACATTGGCAAAATAGGTCTTGGTTTGGATTTGAGTAATAGTAAACAGCACGCATGCGTTGCTATGGTGATCGCTGCTGTTTTTGTTTTTATTTTCACTAGCAGGCATTTTTAATGTACTTACATAATAATAATTGTTTAAAGTATTTTTATATTCTTTTTATTACTAACGTATAATGACTGTCTTGACTATGATTTCAATATAAATATGAACGTTGAAGAGGGAAAAGTATTTTGTGAAACACGAACATAGGCAAGATTTGAAATCAAACATCAAAGAGAGACAGTTTATGCAACCCATGATTTGAAATGTTTAACGGAGTCAATCCAGAAACAAAAAAGCATTGGGTAACCAGTGATAGTAATAAGGCGATCACAACTTTTACCACTTTTTTAAATGAATCTGTAAATAAATTTGTTTATTTTTTTTTATTTTATTTAATAATAGTATAAAATATTTTGAATTGCATTGCACACTATTATTTTACTTTATTTTAAGGAATGCAATTTTAAATAACAAAATACGAAACTCCTGATATTTCCTAAGCCGTATTTTTCCCTCTGTCTTAGATCTTTAAGAAATTGAGCACGAAGATATGCAATAAGGATACATTCAAGAAACAAACACTCACTGAAAAGAAATAGAAAGTAAAATTCAATGAGCTTGGAGTCGATAATTTCAGATATAAGGTAGAACTCTTATCTTTCTAAGCAGCTTTTGCTTTAGCCATGTCTGAGCTGTTTTAATGTCAGGCCTCCTCCAAAACTTTCTTTAAGTCGATTACATTTCATAACAGTTTTTTTCATATCAAAGTTCACTGAAAAAAAAATGGACAGTGACTGGATAAAGAGTAAGTCTTTCTCTTTATGCATGCATTCATGTGAGTATACATGCATGCTTGCATATACACACATGCATACATGTATTCATACTACATGCATGCATACTTACTACATACATGCATGCTACATACATACCATATACACGCATAAAAAAGTTTGGATACGGTCAATTTTTCGATAAGTATCCATCGTACTGAAAAAGTAAAAAGAGCTATAATTAATATTTTTTTAAAAGATATACTATACCAAACTCGATCTTTCAACATCCACTCACATTTCGCAAAAAGAAGCCTACATCCTATTTTTGTAACATGATTTAGTTCAGGGGTAGGCAACGCGGCCCCCCCCCGATCGATTTTTAATGCGCCCTCGCTGGACTAATGTAAATGTATGATAGCCAGAGCGATTTACTCACTCTTGTCCCTCCTGTCAAACGGCGATATACAGCAAGTAGTCAGTTGAGTTTAGGATTGTGCATAGATTAGCAGTTTGCTTACCTCGAGCGTATCTTATAATACGCACGTATTTTTTGTTAGTGTGTGATCGTATTTCGAATAGACCACGCGTAAACCGTGCATTTAAAACTACCAAGTAATCCGAAATAATTCTTTTCTTTCAAAACCCTTTGTTGAAAGCGATGAACTGGATCCTAAATTAAACAGTGATCTTGTTTGGATGGGTGATCTACTTTCGCCACTGATGTAGTTTCTGACGCATCAGCTAGGTTAACTGTGACTGTATTGTAACTTGTCGTTTTAGTTTCAGTTTGCTTTCATGTTTGAGCTTCTGTTTGTTTATCTTTGGTATAATGCTTCTTTGCTATGCTTTCGTTATGTTTTAAATAATAAACGTTTAATAACGTTGTGTTTCTTTTTAAAATAGAGTTGTTATAGTTCTAGTTTTTTGTGTTTTAACACCCCTCATGGATAAATGTAAAAGAAAAAGAACATATTATTTTAACGATGAATGGGAACATCTATAGTGTTTCGTTGATTACAAAGGGAAGTGTATTTGTTTGTTGTGTTATAATAGTGTTGCGATTCCCAAGAAAAGTAATATTGAACGACATTTTAAGACCGTTCATACCAATTTTGATAGAGACTATCCAATGAACTCTGAAATTAGAAGAAAAAAAATTATTTCTTTAAAATCTTCAATAACTAACCAGCAAAGTTTTTTTACTAAACCACTGCAACAACATAAAGCAGCAACGATCGCGTCATATAAAATATCGCATTTGCTAGCTAAGAATAAAAAACCATTTACAGATGGAGAATTAGTGAAAGAAGCCATGTTAGAAGCTGCTGATTCACTTTTTGAAGAATTTAAAAATAAAAAGGAAATAGTTTCAGCTATAAACACGTTGCAATTATCAGCACGAACTGTTACTAGAAGAATTGAAGTAATTGCGGAGAATTTGGAGGCAGAATTAGCAAATTATATGGAAAATTGTATTTTCTTTTCGCTACAGATGGATGAATCGACAGACGTGACAAATATATCACAATTAGCAATTTGCGTGAAGATGGTATTTTCTGATTTTACAAAAGAAGAATTCCTTAAAGTTCTGCCATTAAAAGGAAGCACCAGAGGAGAAGATATCTTTTCTACTTTTAAAAAGTATATAACAGATGTAAAATTACCTGTACAAAAGTTATCGTCAATTACAACAGACGGGGCACCAGCGATGACTGGTAAGAAAAAAGGATTTATTGCCTTATGTAGACAGGATTCCTTATTCCCGAAATTTATTTCTTATCATTGCCTCATACATCAGGAAATGTTATGCGCAAAAACAATCGGTTTTCAACCCGTATTTAGGATAGTAACAAAAATTATTAATTCCATAAGATCGGGAGCTATGCAACACAGATTGTTTAAATTACTTTTAGAAGATGAGGACGTTCAGTTCACAGATCTTCTTTTACATACTGAAGTGAGGTGGCTGAGCAGAGGTAAAATACTTGAGCGGTTTATCATGCTTTTGCCACAAATAAAGGAATTTATTGCATCAAGAGGCGAATTTTACGAGCAATTAGAAAATAAGGATTGGCTAATCGACCTCGGATTTCTGACAGATATAACGGCAAAGTTGAATGAATTAAATTTAAAAATACAAGGGAAAAATCAGCATATCGCTGACATGATTAGTGCAGTAAATGCATTCAAATGCAAGTTAGTGTTGTTGAAATCCCATCTATTGAAAAAATCATTATCACATTTCCCAAATATAAAATATACTGTTGAGAGTTTAAATTTGAATAATGAAAATTTTACTGCTACATCATATTTAGAAATTATAGATAAGCTAATAGAAGAGTTTTCTTCTAGATTTGAAGATTTTGCAGCATTAGAACCCGTTCTAAGATTTTTCATAAATCCATTCAGTGTTACTGAAGATGATGTCCTTGAAATAGTTTCAGTGTATTTCGATCTTCATAATATCGAAGATCTAGAATTAGAAATAATAAACTTGCAAAGTGATATTATTTTAAAAGCGCATAGTAATGATAAAATGTTTTGGAACTTAGTCGATGAAAATAAGTATCCTATTTTAGGGAAATGTGTGCTAAAAATTTATTCATATTGTGCAACAATATACAATTGCGAGTCTTTGTTTTCAAATATGAAATATTTGAAATCAACATATCGAACAAAGCTTAATGACTCACATTTAGATAATTGTTTAAGGACCGGGAACTCTAAATATATCCCCAATTATAAGAAATTAGCTGAAAATATGGACACCCAAGTTTCACACTGAATTATATGTATCATTATGTATGACACCAACAAAATAAAGTTATAAAAAATCTGTTTTTTTTTTTAATGTCTATTTATACCCATTGATTATCTGTAAAATATGCGCCCTCGGTGATTTTCAAATTTAGTATTGCGCCCTTAAGGACAAACAGGTTGCCGACCCCTGATTTAGTTCATGTAGTTATTGGTTCAGCAATCACACGAGAGTGTCCTTACATTTATGGATTGATCGAAGAAATATATATCAAAAAACGTTTCATTCGTAATTGAAAAGTTAGTTTCAACACTTTTTTATCATTTATTTATTTATTTAAACCTTCGTTCTTGATGCTATTGTTTTGAAAATAAATGTCTACTCATATTATAAAAATAATTTATAATTAATTTATAATTTTTTTTTACCCAGTGCCTTTAAAAGGATGTTTCTTTGGTTGAAATCTATAATACAACGAATTCAATGGCAGAGCATTGTTATAAAAGTCTTAAGTTCGGAGGAATAGAAAAAGATAATAATAAGTATCTAAGCTGGTATATGTTTAGGCGTTCATTGACTTTATCTGGCAGAGATGGTGATAGTTTCCATTTGTCGAAAGAAAGTAAAGCATCTCATGATTCATAATATAAAAGTCTTTACATCAAGATCAAAATATGAGATTATCCAGTTTCTTTTCGAGTCTTAAGTCTCAAGTGGAGCTTTTATCAGCGCAATTTCTTGGCAAACGTTCAAATAGAAACGTCAGCCTGTGTGAAATACAATGAAAATTTATTCTGTGAATAAAACTCTTAAACCCTAGAATAATGTAATTGACTTAGGGGATATAAAGAAAAGAATTTTGAAACTATGTTTACTGTAATTCTATATGTTTCCTTTATCGAACTTGACATGGTTGTTCTATTATTCTGTTATTTTGAGCAATTTTTTTTCTTCTTTATCGGCGATTTGAAACGTGGTTTTTATTTGTTTCCGCTCGTTTTGTTGTTGATATCTGAGGGGAATACATTAATGAATCTCTTTTTATTTATCTCAATCAATTTGGAGGCATTTGTAGCTAAAATCTTATCTTGAAATATCTTGGCCAGAAGGTTTAAGCCTCAACATTAAATGTGATTGTTATATATTTGTTTAACGTTTTCATGCTAGAAGATTGAACATTAAA